AATATGATCACTTTATCACATTTAATACATAGACAATGTTATGTGCAGACTTTTTCACATAGTTTTCATGAGATTGGTTACTTTCTAGTTCTTAAGCAATTATTTTGGAGCTCAAGTTTCTGCCCAAATTTCATCCATGAAAATGTCACTGCCCTTTTCAGGAATCACGATATGAATTGATAAGAACTTGAAAATGGCTCCAGCTGTAAGCTTAACTTGATAGGCTAAATCTCATGAAATGTTTTCAACATACCAATTCCTGAACTAGGAAATTATGGCAAGGGAGGGGCTGGGCATAGTAGGTGAGGTTGGTGGCCATCGATCAGACACCAAGTCACAATGTTCCTACTAGGCTGAGAATGAGCCAGGTCATGTTAAATTACGCTGAGAATGAGCCAGGTCATGTTAAATGATGCTTTTTGTGGAATTGCATTCATCTATGGAGTACAATGTGAACAAAAAAGATTTGAATTAAAATACCTTCTTGGAAATTATTATTTCTTATCATGAAAAATTTTGTACCCCAGCTCCTGACAATACTAACTGTGGATGTCATAATATTGATTAGACTTCATTTGATGTATTATTGTTATAAAGTGCCAGTACCTTCTTCCTGGTTATCCTTGTCCACCTATATAACTAGTTAAAAAGAGGAAAGTTTGATTTGTTGCCAAAATAATAAGTCATAATAATGTGCGATGAAATTGGGAAGTCTGTAGAATTTTTGTTTAAATTACAACTATTAGGATATAATTAAAGCATGATTGTTAGACGAATAACCGCCACAGCACTCCTTTAACATAGCCGCGGCACCCTAGGTTGCAGCGCCTAAGCCGCGACACAACAGGCTGCCGCGCCTTAGCCGCGGCACTAGGTGCTGTCGCGCCTTAGCCGCGACACTAAGTGCCGTCGCGCCTTAGCCGCGACGCCATGGGCTACCGTGCCACCTTGTGTTGCCTGATGACGTGTAAATTGTTCTCCCATATTGTTTTGAGTGTTATTTGGATGCCTGCAAGCATTTTTCGACGCCTACAAAGAATTAACCAATTTATTGTAGGGATTATGCTAACAGACAAAATTGAAAGTAAGCAGCAAACCCAATATGATCTCCCATTGATTAAATTACATGGTTCTCAGGAGAGAAGCAGGGTACCTACAAAATTAGGATCTCACTTTTATTTAATAATAAATTTATTATCAAGTGAGGAACTCAAGTTGATATCATAATAGATTTATTAATGCCTTGCAAATTAGGATCTCCCATGAGTTGGATTAACCAGTGAGTCTGTGGCAAGTTCCATATTTGCTTTTGGGATAGTCATTGAGGTTATGCAAATGACATTTTGATGAATATAAAGTGACCAGAGTAATGGATTCTGTGGTCTATTATAAGTTTATGAAGATATAGAACATTTTATTTAGAGGCTACTATAAATATTTAATAGAGATCATTATTTCTTATTCACGAGGTGGTATCTCATTCGAAGAACGCGAGCCAATGAAAGAGGTAACTTCCGTTGGAGAAATATTTGACATTGACACTCATTCTTACTTCTTTCCTTTGATGAGGAAGTGGAAATTAGACTTTGATAAGCAGGATACATTGAAATTCTCTACTTACTGTAATATTTTGTGATCAGGAAGTTGCTTGAATGTGTTTGCTAGGACATCACATTAGCTGTGAGTATGTTATAACTATACATTGTAGTATGAAGCTTTTGTCTAAAAAAATATTAAAATTTCTGATCAAGACTTGCTTGTGCCTAAAATCATCTGAAAGTCAGCTAGAAGGAATGATAGAAATAATAATTTACATCTTATACATTGTGTGAGGTTTCAGAGATTGAAACTGCAAATAGGCTGCCTCATGGGAGGAATGAAGTCGTACATTCCAAGACAATTTGTCTATTTTCAATATTCAGCTGGCTCTGCTTGTTCTTCTCCTCATAATTAAGGTCAACATATTCATTCCTAATTTCCTATTGTATAGGTGTAACGTCCCGCCCCGGAATCCCGGAGTCGGTACGCTATTAGATCTGATGGACTGGCCTCACAAACCACCACATGTCTTTTCAGCACGTTTTGTCCTCACTCACGCACTCCCTGGAAAACTTCCCAGGGGGTCACCCATCCTAGAATTTCTCCAGGCCAAGCACGCTTAACTTTGGAGTTTCTAAGAGTTAGGTTCCCGAAAAAAAGATGCATCTTGGTGGTATGAGTATTCTAATCAAATCTATCAATACTAATCACATCACCCTCTCAAGGGGTGGGTATTACATACTCCCCCACTTAAACTCACAACGTCCTCGTTGTGCCAAATCATATCATCCAAGACCGTACCATCCGTGTGGTATGAGTATTCCAATCAAATCTATTAATACTAATCACATCACCCTCTCAAGGGTTGGGGTATTACATACTCCCCCACTTAAATTCACAACGTCCTCGTTGTGTCAAATCATATCATCCAAGACCGTACCATCCGTGTGAGATTCTAGAGGTGGCTCCTACGGCCTCAAGAGGTGGCTCCCGCCCTCTCGACGTAGCACTTTGCGCCGCATAGCACTTAGCTCTCACAATTCCGGTTGGCTTTGCTCTGATACCATTTGTAACGCCCCGCCCCGGAATCCCGGAGTTGGTACGCTATTAGATCTGATGGACTGGCCTCACAAACCACCACATGTCTTTTCAGCACGTTTTGTCCTCACTCACGCGCTCCCTGGAAAACTTCCCAGGGGGTCACCCATCCTAGAATTTCTCCAGGCCAAGCACGGTTAACTTTGGAGTTTCTAAGAGTTAGGTTCCCGAAAAGAAGATGCATCTTGGTGGTATGAGTATTCTAATCAAATCTATCAATACTAATCACATCACCCTCTCAAGGGTTGGGGTATTACAATAGGTTAGCCACATAAGCAAATATATGGATACAGGACTTTATGGAGATCATCATGTCTAAAATTAATGGGTATTACCAATTGAGGAGAATGAAAATGCAACAGAAAATTTGCAGCTTATTAAGAAAAGTGATTTGTATATACTGTGACCATCTTCGCACTGATTCTGTAGATAAAGCAAGACATAGGCTCTTTTGTTGAATCTGTAACTGTTGGAATAGCTATTTGGTTGCTCAAGATCGAAGTGAAATATGATCACTTTATCACATTTAATACATAGACAATGTTATGTGCAGACTTTTTCACATAGTTTTCATGAGATTGGTTACTTTCTAGTTCTTAAGCAATTATTTTGGAGCTCAAGTTTCTGCCCAAATTTCATCCATGAAAATGTCACTGCCCTTTTCAGGAATCACGATATGAATTGATAAGAACTTGAAAATGGCTCCAGCTGTAAGCTTAACTTGATAGGCTAAATCTCATGAAATGTTTTCAACATACCAATTCCTGAACTAGGAAATTATGGCAAGGGAGGGGCTGGGCATAGTAGGTGAGGTTGGTGGCCATCGATCAGACACCAAGTCACAATGTTCCTACTAGGCTGAGAATGAGCCAGGTCATGTTAAATTACGCTGAGAATGAGCCAGGTCATGTTAAATGATGCTTTTTGTGGAATTGCATTCATCTATGGAGTACAATGTGAACAAAAAAGATTTGAATTAAAATACCTTCTTGGAAATTATTATTTCTTATCATGAAAAATTTTGTACCCCAGCTCCTGACAATACTAACTGTGGATGTCATAATATTGATTAGACTTCATTTGATGTATTATTGTTATAAAGTGCCAGTACCTTCTTCCTGGTTATCCTTGTCCACCTATATAACTAGTTAAAAAGAGGAAAGTTTGATTTGTTGCCAAAATAATAAGTCATAATAATGTGCGATGAAATTGGGAAGTCTGTAGAATTTTTGTTTAAATTACAACTATTAGGATATAATTAAAGCATGATTGTTAGACGAAGAGTGCTTTTCACTCAGGACACGATGATGTTTGAAAGAAGTTTGATCCAGCAGCTCTCGACCCAAAGCAAGTCTTACGAATATACCAATGAAAGGAATGGAAATTCGTGTGTTGAGTTTCTCAAAAATAAACGTGTGTTAAGGTAATAGTAGCAGTGTTATAGACATCAGGATAATTATAAACGATTAGTTTCTCATCATTGTGGTTCCTAAATTAGCAAATGAGGTCGCTTTTCATTAAGTAAAATGGAGGAAAGAAATTTATCTCAGCAAAAACCAAAAAAGAATTCAGATAAGTCTGTTGTTACTTCTGCTCCTACAGATAGTTTCCTATTACATTATGATGGCTTTATAATGTTGTTCGCTTGTTCTTGAGAAATTCGTGGTATCCACCTGTTTTCTTACTAAGAAACTGAGACTGCAGATGCATTAAAACTTAAGTATTTGAATTACCTCATCATAGTGCTCATAGGCATACAAGGCCCTTTAGGAATACTAAGTTATGAGTTAAAGCAAAGAAAGAGGCCTAGAAGCTAAAATCCAGACTGCTGGTTAATAAGGTGAACATAACATTGCTGGCGGCTATTAGCTGATTGTTTCCTCTTCCTACTGCAAGTTCTGATAAACTTTACAATTTTGTTATTACCAAAATCTTTATATTCCGAGGATCCTTATTTGTAAATTACAGTATACTTTTCTAGGGGGGTGTATGTTGCCTTGCAATTTTTCAGTTCAAGAAAAAAGTGCTCGTTGCACATATACCCTGTGTAGCATCGCGGTTTTCAACTTACTACCTCTGTAATTTCATTATTCAAATAGACCCGTGGGTTTAATTTTTTTAATTTTTTTAAAATTTGGCCAATATTGCCCTTGGACGAAATTAGTGAGTATATATATGAAGGTAAAAGAGTCAAAAAAAATTAACCAGTGGATCTATATGCAACAATAAAACTACAGGGGTAGTGGCAATGATACTGAAAAGGGTCTATATGCTATTATCTCAAAGAACATTGCCTTGCAGTTTCAAAACATCAGGTGCAATTTCTTTCAATACCTTGTAACTCAACACTTCTATGTGTGCAGGTGGCGGAATGGGGAAAGATGAGTATGTGCGATGCTGAACGAAGACTCCTCGCAAATGCACTCCTTGATCTCTCAAACGAGCGCTTCGTTCTCGTCTCAGAATCCTGCATCCCTCTCCACAACTTCAGCATCATCTACCAATACCTAATAAAATCTCGAACCAGTTTTGTTGGCTCCTTCGATGACCCAACCCCTCATGGCCGAGGGCGATACAATTCAAGAATGTACCCCGAGGTAACCTTAGCTCAATGGCGCAAAGGGGCTCAATGGTTTGAAGTCAATCGAGAACTAGCAGTCAAATTAGTCTCAGATACAAAATACTATCCAAAGTTCAAAGATTATTGTCGACCAGCGTGTTATGTGGACGAGCATTATTTTCCTACAATGCTCTCTATTGAAACTCCAAATCTCATTGCAAATAGGACTGTCACTTATGTTGATTGGTCGAGAGGTGGAGCTCATCCTGCGACATTTGGGAAAGGGGATATCACTGAAGCGTTTTTAAAGAGAATTATTGAAGGTCAGAAGTGTTTGTATAATGGCCAGCCGTCATCACTTTGTTTCCTTTTTGCTAGAAAATTTGCTCCCAGTGCTTTGGAACCTCTACTGAACATTACAAATACTTTGCTCGGGTTTTCTTGAAGTGATGTAGAGAGGCTGAAGATGGAGAGGTTAGGATACAGCAGTATATATTTTTGTTTGATTTTATACCAATTTTCTTATGTATAGGTCGGACTAGAATTATCTGAATTTATTACATTATACAAGTTTATTGAGAGATCTTTATACATTACAGAAATTGGTCTCTGAAGAAGTTTCACATACATCGTATTCATTTTTCCCCCTTTAGAAGATTATGAATTATTGTTGGATGTCTACATCGAATAAATTGGGTGAGATCTTTACAGATACTGATGTAGCTTTTCTACGGCTATCATCAAATTCGTGGGGTAGTGAGGCTCAAACAAAAAACTTTAAATTATTGGGTGACTTTGCTATGTAAATTGGCGACAACGGTGAAGGATTCACTCGTCTTCTCGTACGAACCATAAGGAGTTTTTAGGTCTGGGCCCATCCCATGCGTGATGTTTGGACCTTAGAGTTCGGGTATTCACATGGAATGGAATCAAACACTTGTGGGTGTCTATGCTACCATTGGCAGCAGGGGCGGAGTCAGGATTTCCCCCTGGATGGTGTGTACATCTAATTTATCATACTTGTATTTAGAATTTACATCAATAATTTTACAGTTTTATTCCTTTTAGTGGTGTAACTCCGCCGGTGCTGTTTGTCAGCACTGTCTGTCCCAAGCCAGGATAAAGGAGGAGGGTTGTGTTAGGTAGGCGACAGCCGGCTAAAACATAATCGGATCCACATGTAAAATGAATCCTATTATATACTCGTTGGGGCGTCCCCACAGCGACGCGTTGCATCGATCCCACCCCAATGTAATGATAAGTAAGCAAGGGTGGTTTGCTAAGACGTCCCCCAAAAGTGGCGCATTACATCGATGTCACCCTGGTGTAATGACAAGTAAGCAAGAGTGTTCTAAGAATCTACAATTCTCTAATATGGTACCTAAAGTACTAAGCATAGACTAGAACGGTCTAAAAGGAAAAATGACAGGAGACTTTTATAATTTAATAGAATCAGATTAGCTACTTAGAATATAGGTACACTTACTAGAAAGACAATGAAATTAGTGGATGTCATGATTAAAAGAAAGCTAAATATAATTTGTTTACAAGAAACTAAATGGATAGGTGAAAAATCTAGAGAAATTTAAAAGATTGAATATAAACTTTGGTACAATGGAAAAGAGAAGAATAGGAATGAAGTGAGAGTTCTGGTAGATAATGTAATAAGAGAGTGTTGTAGATGTAAGAAGAATTGGAGATAGAATAATACTAATAGAAGTTGTCTTAGGTATAAAGGTTATTAATATTATTAGTACTTATGCACCACAAATAGACTTGCCCGAGAGTACTAAAAGGAAATTTTAGGATCAATTAGATGAATTAGTATAAGGAATCCTATTTTGAGAGAAATTTCTTATAGGAGGAGATCATAATGGGCATGTTGGTAAGGATAATAACGGATATGAGAGGATACATGGAGGTTTCGGATACGGAGATAAGAACGATATGGGTAAGTTAATTCTAAAGTTTTTGCAATATCGTATGATTTGATAATAGCAAATACACTTTTTATAAAAAGGGATGAACACTTAATAATCATTAAAAGTGATTTTAATAATAGTCAAATAGTCTTTTTTCTTACTATAATGGCGGATAGGTTAATATGCAAGTATTGTAAAGTTATACCAGGAGAGAGTTTAAGTACACAACATAGATTGATGGTCTTAAACATATCTATTAAAAAATGGAGTAGGAAAACTAACGTGAACAAAAGACTAAGAACTAAATGATGGAATTTAAAAGGAGAGAATTTAATACATTTTAAAGATAAAATAATGAAAGAAAATATATAGAACATAGATAATGAGACTAATATTATGTGGAATAGCATGTCTTCTTGTATTAGAAAAGTGACAATAGATATACTAGGAGAATCTAAAAGTTGTATATTAGACGGTAAGGAGAGTTGGTGGTGGAATGAAAGTGTGCAAAAAGTTATTAGAGAGAAGAAAACTCTACATAAAGAGTGGCAAAAGTGTACGAGTAGGAAAAATTTAGAAAAAAATATAAACTAGTAAGGAAGGAAACAAAAAAACGGTTACTGAGAATAAATACAAGGCTTATGAAAATTTTTATAAAAAGTTAGAGTCTAATGAGGGAAAGAAAGATATATATAAGCTTGCTAAGATTAAAGAAAGGAAGAGTAGAGATTTGGGTAATATTAGGTGTGTTAAAAGTGAGGATCAAAGATTCTAGTGACCAACGAGGGAATAAAAGAGAGGTGGAGAGGTTACTTTTATCAATTGTTTAATGTAACCAAACAAGTGAGCAAAATAGAGATTTTGACCATATAGTGAATGATAGTAAGTATAGATATTGTCGTAAAATTAGGATTAGTGAAATTAAAGATGCTCTAAAGAAAATAAAAAGTGGACGATCTATAGGAACGGACGATATCCCTATTGAAGTTTGAAAATGTCTTGGAGATATAGACCTAGGATGATTAACTAAACTATTTAATAAGATTATCGAGACGAAAAGAATGCCGGATAAGTGGAGGATTACTATTTTAATACCGATATATAAGAATAAAGGGGATGTACAAAGTTATTCAAATTATCGAGGTATAAAACTCATGAGCCATATTATAAAACTTTGGGAAAGGGTAATTGAGCAAAGACTAAGAAAAGAGATATGTATATCTAAAAATCAATTTGGTTTTATACCTGGGAGGTCAACTATGGAACCTATACATATTTTGAGACGGTTGATGGAGAGATATAGAGAGAAGAGAAATGATCTACATGTGATTTTTATCGATTTAGAGAAAGCTTATGATAGAGTACCTAGAGAGATAATATGGTGGGTGTTAGAAAAAAAACATGTATCTAGTATATATATTGATGTGATTAAATATATATGTATGATAGAGTTACAACTAGAGTAAGAACTAATGAAGGAGAGACTAAACCATTTCCTATTATCATAGGTTTACACTAAGGGTCAGTTTAAGTCTTTATCTTTTTGCATTAGTTATGCACCAACTTACTAAGCACATTCAGAATGAAATCCCATGATGTATGTTATTTGCTGATGATATAGTATTAGTTGATGAAACTAGAAGATGCATTATTTCTAAAGTAGAAAGATTGAGACAAGCTCTTAAGTCTAAAGGTTTTCGAATTAGTTGAACAAAAACAGAATATATGAAATGCATTTTTAGTAAAAGTAGGAAAGAAAGAGAGCCTATGATGCATATTGATGGCCAAGAAGTACCTAAAACTAATCATTTTCGCTATTTAGGATCTATCATTAGGCATGATGATGAGATAAAGGATGATGTTGTGCATCCAATTACACCAGGATGGTTGAAATGGAGGAGTGCTTCGGGAGTCTTATGTGATCGTAGAATACCAATAAAACTAAAAGAAAAATTCTATAGGACGGTTATAAGGTCAACTATACTTTATGGATCAGAACATTGGGCAATTAAAAACAACGTGTTCAAACAATGAGTGTAGCAGAAATGAGAATGTTGTGATGATCTTATGGGTATACATTAAAAGATAGGATAAGAAATGAGTGCATCAGTAGTAAATTAGAGGTTGTGCTTATTAATAATAAAATGAGAGAGAATAGATTAAGATTGTTTGGTCATGTGCAAAGGAGACCCCTTAGTGCACCGATAAGAAAAAATAATAATATTAGAGTTAATAGGGCTAGGAGATCTAAAGGACGACCTAGAATGACTTAATCAGAAGTAATTAAGAATGATATGATTAAGATTAATGCAACAGAGGAAATAACCCGTAACAGAATAGAATGGAAAATATGATTAATGTAGCTGACTCTAAAAATTTGGGATAAATACTTGGTTGTTGTTGTAATCCTTTTAGTGGTGTCATATCCTAATTCTAGTGGTGCCCTAAGTAACAAATACAACTTAAAATAAATAACAATATGTATAAATCAAGCAATCCATTGATCTCCAGTGACACAATTGGTCACTATCTGGAGAAGCCACTGTTTGGCTATACAATGATTTAAGATAATGATTTGATGATTTAGACACATCTACAGGAGAAAATTCAAAGAAATATTCGATTCGGGTACTGCTTTAAAGTTGATTAAGAAAGGAGATATTTGGAATTTTGATATCCTCCTTTTTATCCCTAATCAAAAAGTAAATGAGTGGTGCTACAGTGACCAAAAACATGGGACTCTACATGAGACATGTGAGGTGTCGGCTCTCTGTTTCATGATACACTGTTTATGAACAGTGCATCATGGGACAAGGAGCCGACACATCACATGTCCCATGTAGGCTCCCATGTTTTTGGGTCCCTAAGGCATTTTTCAAAGTAAATATCCAGTTTGAAATTTATCTATGTTTTTACAAAGTCATTTAATCGAATTCTCCAAATCCTATCCCTATCTACGCTCTACCTGTGTTGCTTTTGAGTCTAGAATTCGAATCATTTCGGAACAAAAACTCCTCACGGTGAGATAGGATTGAGAGTTGACCGGCAAAAAGCCACAAAAAAAAAGCGCCCAACAAAAAAAAATATGGGATTTGGAGTTATTTTCTCCCTTGGGAATTGTATCATTCTCCTCAACTCCGTTGGTCGGAGCAGACGGAGGCTTGCTAGACATGACCCTGGTTCATTAGAGTCGATAAGGGATTTTCATGAGATGACAAGGGGCTCGTCAAAGTCGTCAAAGAAGTGGTCGAAGTTGACGAGAGGTTTGCTGGATATGGCTATGGTTCGTTAGAACTAATAACTGGCTGAACTAAGACAATGAGATTGTGTATTATATTTTTCTTTTTCCTTTTTCTTTTTCTTGAGGGATCAGACCATGTTTAGGTCATCGCATTGTTGGGAATTTTACGTCGAAACCCCTAATGCAGCGAAAACGCAGTATAGAGAAAATATACCAAGATTTAACGAGGTTCGGCAAATGTCTACGTCCTCAGGAGCCACAGAGTTAATTTCTCATTAATCAACAAGAAATTACAATACAAGAGAAGATCTCAAACTTGAGATCTCTCAATAAATACAAATCAATATTGTAGCTACAATATTAATTCCCCTCTTTAATTCCACCTTAAAATCTTTGAGAGCTGGGAAAAAGAACCACTCTTTAATTCTCCTCTTAAATCCCCCTTTTAATTCCTCTTTCTTTAATATCCCCCTTCAATACTTTCTCCCCTCAAAATGACGTGAGAGCTGGAGAAGAGCAAGGGGGAAAAAGGGGCTGCCGCCAGGGGGATCAGAAATCGTGAGGAGAGAGAGAGGGAGAAGAAGCATCCATCTCGTGCTGGGGGTTTCCCTTTTATAGGGAAACCCTAGCGCCAGCTCAAGACAGGCTGTCGACAGCCTGGATCCCACGCTCGAGCTCGCCTGCGGACTGCTCGAGCTCGCCAGATCTCGTCAACTTCGAGCTCGCCTGTTAAACTCATTGACCTCGCCTGAAGAAGTTCCTCGCCTGCACGAAGTCGCCTGCTTCAACCTCGAGCTCGCCTGGAGCTCTTCCCACGCTCGAGCTCGCCAGACCCAACTCGAGATCGCTTGTGGTGCATCGTCGAGCTCGCTTGCTGATTGCGTCCGCCCCCAACCTCGCCTGCGTTGACCTCGACCTCGCCTGACTGGAGTCGACCTCGCCTGAAGCTTCGACTAGACCTCGTCTGAAGCCTCGCCTGCGCCGCCACGACTCGTTTGACAAGTTTGGTCTACACCCAAACTAACACACATATGTTTGTATCTTTCTAGACTATTGTTTTCTTTTTATCGAAACACTTGCCAGCTTGCTCCTCATAGTTTCTCTTAAAAAATGTTACATTTTCATTTGATCTCGTTATACCTCTTCTTAAATGTATAATTGTGCATATTTAATTACAAAATTTGACCGATGTTTTTCTTTTACCCTCCTAAATTTACACATACATGTTTATAGGCTGTCTAAAAATTACTGCAGATAGCTGATCCCTATCAAACACCGATGATGGAAGTTACAATTCGACAACTTTCAGAAGGCTACAATTTAAAGACTTTCATGTATATCAAAGAAGGTTACAATCTGGCGATCTTCACAATAACTGATGAAAGCTCTAATCAATAGTCTTCACAATCAATATCAGGAGTTACGATCTAACGACTCTCACATATCAAAGAGCTAAAGTAAAGATTACAACATAACGATCCTTGCAACGCTTTGACAGAAAGAGACTACAAATCGACGATCTCTTCAAACCAAGATGCGGAAGTCTTCCCCGCGTACCAGCATCAAGACGCACCACGTTCATAGCCGCTGACGCAGAGCAAACGCAGCTCATATTTAGCTCCAAACGCAGCTCAGACCCAGCTGCCAACGTAGCTCATGTTCGGCCGCAAACGCAGCCTCCAAAAGCTGCCAAGGCAGCTTCCATTCGCTGCCAAACACAGCTCTTAAATGCTGCCAACGCAGCTTCTAATAAGCTGCCAACACAGCTTCCAGACGCTGCAAACGCAGCTTCCAGACACTGCAAATGAGCTTGTAGACGCTACGTCTGAGCTTCCAGACGTTGCGTTCGACCTTCTAGACACTGTGTTTGAACGCGGAATTCACGCAAGAACGCGGATTTTGCGTTTGACTAGTTCAAACACGAGTTGAACGGTTTCAAAACCGTTTCCCACGATATGAGAGGATCACAACTCCACTCAGGAGTGATTTAAGGGACGATTACATCCCATTAGCCCCACAAATGAGCGATTTTAGGGGCGGTTACACCCCCTAATCGCCTATAAATAGCTGAAAAATCAGCTTAGTTGGGATCTTTTGGATCTTTGAACATTTTCGGATCTAGAGATCAGCAAAGATCTTGAAGCTTTCTTCAGCAACAGAAAATCTGTGGGAGTTTTGATACTTGGCTGTTAAACGATTTACGGTTCAAACAACTCTTTACATAGAGTTCGAACTCATCCTGAGTTCATAAACTCGTTAAGAGTTCCTTCAATCGTTCCAGTGAATTGAGACGTGCGGATCGTCAACAAAGAGCAAACTCGACGCAAACATTTGAGGGATGCACTCCATTGCCACCGTGAAGAACCCAGTTTTAAACAAAGGGGAGAATTCAGATCAATTCTCTTCTCTTTTGTAATCAGGAAATCCAAATTGTAATTGAAATTGAGAGAGTTGTAACCATTCTTTTTCTAAGCTGTTAGAGAGAATAAAATCAAATGCGCGCGATTCTTTCATCTTCCTCTTATTACAAAATTTCCACCAAACAATGTTCTCATGACCTCCGATTGTCATTTGAGTGTGGTTGTCTAGACCTATCTGGTGTAAGATCTCGATTCTGCATCATTTATTTTCTACTTGCTATTCATACGTCTCCAAATTAAACTAGCTTAGGCGTGTATACAAATTCTCTTTTGAACTCTTGCAACCACTTTTTATTTTTTTTACCGGCAAAGAGCTTCTTGCAGCATATTTAATAGTCATTCCTTATCTTCAGCTTGTGTGTCCCTCTAGCAAGATCAAACACACGTTTAAGTTTTAACCAATATCGATATTTTTCTCACCTTCCGGTGTTAAGACTGCACGATTCAAATTTCTTTTCTTTTTCCTACCACTGACAAAAATTAATAAGATTAATTAGTGACAAGTGACAACAGCTCTCGCTTTTCCTCATCAAAACCGCATTAGTTCTCGCCTAATGCGAAGAGATCGTTCATCAAGTGGCCAAGCCCATTATGGCCACCCAAAAATTTCAGTTTCCTCAACATAACGACACATGTCTTCTCACTCGCGTGGACCCCACCAGATGATAGGTACACATTTTATCAGAATTCATACATACTCTATATCATTTATAGATGGCTAGAGAGTCGAATCATCCCGGCACTACAAGGATGATTCTGAAAAATATTTATATCCAAAAGAAATAAGAGCTTTTTAAATTGCAAATATTTTGAAGTTGAAAGTTACTTGCTTCCCAGATCTAGCATTAGCTTTTCCATTTTTTCACTCGTAACTCCTCAAAACAAAGTCTAATCAGCTTGGTAGAAAATCAATAATGGGCGGAGTTTTTGTTCTTTTTTCTATTTCTTTTCTCTTCTTTTGTATAATGTTTGGCTACAATCAACTTTAGCTTATTTGTTCATGGTTTTTGTCTCATGTTTACTTTTAAGTGTTCTGTTAAATTCTTATTAATTAAATGGAGGATAGCTCCACGTCGTCTTACAAAAAAAATTTATTAAAAAATAAATTTTCTTAAGAAGTGAAAATTGTGTTAGAAAAGAATAAATAAAATTGAAAATCAATAAAATGCAAAACCTAAAAAAAAAAACTCAAAGAGGGGGCAATACGTGGAAGTCCACGTGTCATAAATAACTCGACTTTCATTAAAAACATCCAAACCGCCCATAACAACACTCAAAACGCATCCTATTCCCTCCCATGGACCAGAGCGAGTGATAGAGAACTCATCCCCCGCAGTTCTCAACAAAGATGAGACTCGTTAGCGGATCCGGGGCCCCTCGACCACAAGCTCCGAAACCCGAATCCGAACCCGAACCAATCTCCCGACTCTCAACCGGAGCAAGAAAGAAAGGACCCGGAACCAGGCCATGGATGGTGGTCGACTCAACGGGGCAGGCAGAAGTTATCGAGGCGGGAAAACACTCAATCATGAACCAAACAGGGTTACCGGGCCGAGACCTTCGGATTCTGGACCCGTTACTGTCTTACCCGTCGACTGTTCTCGGTCGGGAGAGGGCAATTGTGATCAATCTTGAACATATAAAGGCGATTATCACGGCTCATGAGGTTCTGCTTCTTAATTTCAAGGATCCTGCTGTTGCTCCCTTTGTTCAGGAGTTGCAGCAGAGGATACAGTTGCATCATGAGCAGGTGAATTTCGTTGGTTACCTTTGTAAATTTTGTTTGAATTTGGTGCTGGTTGTAATTTTTTATTTTGGGTTTAGAGGGAAGGGATGATTGGAATTAGTACAGTAGGAGAGGGGAAATTCAGTAAATTAAGGGATCTTCCTTTTGAGTTCGTAGCATTGGAGGCTTGCTTAGAGGCTGCTTGCAGTTGTTTGGAGAATGAGGTTAGAAATTCTTTTCGTAAAAAAATGAAGGGGTTTTTGTTGATTTTTTTAGTTAATGCTAATGTTGAGAGAGATTATTGGTCCTGTCGAGTTTAGGCGACGACATTGGAGAAAGAAGCACATCCGGCGTTGGATAAGCTGACAACGAAGATAAGCAGTCTAAATTTGGAGCATGTTCGTCAGATCAAGAGTAGGCTGGTTGCGATCTCGGGTCGAGTTCAGAAGGTCAGTTGGGTTTTTTTCAGATGAATGCACTGGTCCCGTTTTAATGTTTATTCATCATTCGTGTATGGTACATTTGAGGTTGCACATTTGATGCTTTGTTAGAATTGGCTGCTGTGCAATTTTGGCCAACAACCCAGTCACTTCAGTTTCCCTCTTTGTTGATTTTGGACCTCATTGCTTAAAGTAGAAATATAACTGTATTATTCCAGTGAGTTCTGCCTCTCAAAAACAATAGAATTACATAAATACATTGGCAGGTGTAATTTTTTCAGCAGAAAATGAAATTCCTACATACAAGTGAACATGAATAATAGCTGTAGAAATATCTATACTTCAAGGAGTCTTCACAAATCAACTAGAGAAATCAGTAATGCACCTGCAAGAAAGTATTTCATTGAAAGGGGGGAAAATATGGTTAGACTTGGTTAAATTTCTTTAAGATAAAATTAGTTCATTTGTACGTCATATTAGTAGATTATGGTCAATTCCTTAGCATTGAGGCCAGAATTTCTTTCAAGTGTTAAGGGTTTATTATATATAAATCTCTTTCTCATTGTAGGTCAGAGATGAACTCGAACAACTTCTAGACGATGATGATGATATGGCTGAAATGTACTTGACAGACAAGCTGTTGCAGCAGAACGTCTGTACTACTGGATCTTCACCTCATTCTTCTCTAGACGAAGATGAAGATGATATAGATGACGATGAGAGGCATTTAAGCTTGCTCTTTATCTTTTAAACAGTTTGTTTCTGCGTTTTTGTGCATAAAATTACCATAACCAATTTCATGTTCTTTCCAGAATCCCAGCTGAGATTTCATCTGAAGATAGCTACATAGAGAAGAATTTTGAGGAAAACTCTCAAAATATTGGAAATCACGGGCACCTGTTTTCGAGGATGGACAGTAACGAGGTTGGCCGTGGAACTCAAACTTGCAGCACAATAAGTGGGGGCAAACGTCTAAATATAGAAGAGCTTGAAATGCTATTGGAAGCTTATTTTGTACAGATAGACAGCACATTAAACAATCTTTCTACGGTATGCTTCCTTTGAACTACACACTAATTTTTAGCCTTAAATTATCAATATGTGATAATTGTTACGTCGTCTTGAACTGAGCAGCCTATAGAACATAACAACCACAACCATTAACTTAAGAACTTAATGAACAACAACAGTTATTGACTGGTGAACTTTATGTAAGGGATGTATGAGTCTCCCTTTTGTAGCATTGAAAGTCTTGGGGTATATTCTTTGGTACATGAAGTAGTAGTAAAGATTCTAGCAGAACACCCCATAGAAGGGGATGATCTACACCATTTACGGGTGGTTTGAGAGTTAGTTTAGAAATTACAATTCTTCTATTTATGGTGTAGATCGCCCCAGGTTCTGACAGGGTCCCTACTGCATAAAGTGATGGATGTTGTCAATTAATCTTCAGTATACTATTCTCCTCTTTAAACTTGTTGCACATATCTTTGGCGCTACATTATTCTCAAGAAAAGAACTTTAGCTTTCCATAATGGAATAAGGATATATCAAATCACAACCGGTTGCAATCTTATGCATGAAAATGTAGTACATCTTATATCTTTAATAGAAGAAAAGAAAAGACTACCTAATAGTTGAAAGTAAAGCTATACTTCCCATCTTAAATGTATATTATCTTTACAATCAACAACATCAAAACTTTTGCCTGGAAAACAAATTCAGCTATGGACAAATAGCATGCATGCCACCTAAAATCTATTATAGACAAGAAAACTATAATAATAATGATAAAGGAAAGGAAAGAAATTTTCCATTCGTCCTAGAAGGCCAAGTTGAGATAAGTAAAAGTAATCTTATGCGTCACGTAATTTAAGCCTCACCAACAAATAGATTGCCAAACTGCCTACATTACAATTTTCTTCTCGGTGCTTTCCACCCATTTTCCTTTTTCAAATTATACGCATTTTTTTGTTTAATTCTTCGATTATTGCATGAAAACCCCAATTTTCTTCTACTTTTCTAATTTTACATTTGGATATACTTTGTAGCTAAGGGAGTATGTGGATGACACAGAGGATTACATCAACATAATGTTGGATGACAAGCAAAACCATCTCCTACAAATGGGAGTAGTATTGACGACCGCAACCCTCATAGTTAGTGCGTTCGTCGTGCTGGCTGGTATATTTGGCATAAACATCAACAATGATTTATTTGATGAGACAAAGTCGGGCACTTCTGAATGGTTGTGGACTGTCGGTGGAGGAGCCACTGGGAGTTTGTTCCTGTATATACTTGCCATTGCTTGGTGTAAGCATAGACGATTGCTCGAGTGAAAGGGGAGTTTGAGTTGTAATGAAATGTGCATGTGATGTAGGTTTCTTTTAAGTTCTTTTTGGACATGGGAGTATTTGATGTGCATTGTCAGAGGGAATTCTATAGGGTGGGTATAGTTAATGGGAGCGATTTATGCCTTTGATTTTCTATGTGCACAAATTGGTCTTTTAGGATGATGGTATTGTGGAGGAATCTCCTATAAAGCATTTAAATGGAGTTAAATTGGTTGTGAACTTGTGATAGTTACTTGTGCGAACCAAGCCCTGAAGTCTACTATACTTAGTTGACGAGGTGAACTCGATCCTAAGGCAATAGATGAGGTGAACTCGAATCCAAACAGTAGGGCTATCCAAATGACCCGTCGGCCCGGGCCCGGCCCGGACGAGAAAATCGTCTGGGCAAAAATAACTGGGCTGGGCGGCCCGGCCTACGGCCCGGCCCGGCATAAAAGGTCATGTGACCGTTTGTGTCAAATGGCTGGCCCAGCCCGGCCATAACGGTCAAATTGGCTATTTTGACCGTTTTGCCCCTAAAAATGGTAAAAACGGTCATATGGTGAGGGTATTTTGATCATTTGCCTAGGAGACTGCCTCTATAAATAGAGGAGGTTTTCATTTGTTTTCCTCACACCAAAATTCATCCACTTCTCTCTTATACACTCTTATACTCTCTTATACTCTCTAATAATCTCTTATACTCTCTAATTCTTCAATCAAATGGCTTCCGGATCTGATTATGAATGGCAAAACCTATCTCCCGATTTTGAAATGAGTCCTCCTACCGGGTCTACTCCTACCGATCCTACCGATATTAATCTCGAATCCGTTGGCAACGATTCTACACCAAGAGCTCCTAAAAGACCGAGATCCGATGTGTGGAATTTTTACGAGAAGATAGACGTCACCAAGGATGAACACGTTAGGATCCTCAACCAGAAGGTTAAATGTGCGTTGAGCTCATCATAAGAGTGGCACCAACCACCTCAAACGCCATTTAGATAAACACAACAGAGGCCAGACGCCTCAAGGTGATATCCGACAATCTATAATCTCCCAATCCTTAACTTCTTATAGTCTCGAAAGTTGGAGTTATGATGCAGCCCGTGCCAGGAAATGGGTCATCAGGTTTATCATTCTTAAGAATCTTCCTTTTAGATTAGTAGAAGATGGGAATTTGAAGATTTATTTATAGATGGTTTTTACCTCACATTTAAAAAAAATTCTCGTCAAACTTGTTAACATGATATTTTAAAACATTATAAGGAGGAACAAGTAAAAATAATTTTTTATTTTCAAAGTTTAAACTATAAATTTTCTTTAACTTATGATATTTGGATATCTAAAGTACAAATTGGTTATTTATGCATCACAACACACTGAATTGATGAAAATTAGCAAATATTTAAAAGAGTTGTTTCCTTTATTGCAATTGAAGAGTCACATACTGGTATTAATGTTACAAATTTAATAATTGAAGAGCTTATGAAACTAGAAATTTCAGAAAGAATATTTTCTTTTTCACTAGATAATGCAAGTAATACTAATATAGCTGTTGATTTTATCAAAACAACTCTATCATTGTCATGTCATGATGATCTTTTTATATTAGATACATTTGTCATATTTTAATTTTAATTGTTCAAAGTGTATTTACTGGAATTAAACCCATGATAGAAAAGGTTAGGTCAGTAACTTATATACATAATGCTTCTGAATAAAGAATTAGAAGATAAAAATAATTCTGTAAAAAAAAAATATAAAGCTCAGACTAATTCTAAAAGATGTTGAGCATAGGTGAAATTCCACCTATGCAATGTTAAGTGTAGCAATAGAATATAAAAAAATTATAAATGATTTTATTGTTTATTATTCTTCTAGTTCTAGCTCTGGTAGCACCTATGGAATAACTGAAGAGGAATGGAAAATTATAAGTGATTTAAAAGAGATGTTACATATTTTTTATGATGCTACAATATTATTACATAGCTGTTATTATCCAACCATTACTTTAGCTTCTTGACAAATTTTAAATATTCAAAAAAATTTGCTAAATATTGTATGGATGATACTTTTGGAGCTATAATTTTTCAAGCGGAGGGCAAATTTAATAAATATTTTAGACCTATTTCTCATATTTTTGGTTTGGGGGTTCTTATTGATCTGTAATTGAAGGATATTAGCCTTCGAAGTTTGTTACAATCCTTATATGGTAATCATATTATAGACTTAGATGATGGATCCACCATTGCTGCTACTTCTCATCATAATGCTATTAAAAATTATTTTTAAACTTTATATGATGAGTATGTAGCTAAACATGGTGTAGCTGCACAGCAGTCTACAGCTTCAGCTTCTTCGAGCTCAAGTCGAGGTAAAAGTGTAAGTTTTAATAGATATGCAATGGTAGCTGAACTAATTGGTAGATCTGGACTTGGATCATCATTGGAGGTTTCTGAAATAGATGAATATTATTTACTTCTTTAGTTAAATGTCAAAATAATAATTTAGGTATTTTGCAATGGTGGAGAGTATATGGATCAGTTTCATATCCTATATTTTCCACCATGGTTCGTGATTTACTAACAGTGCAGGTTTCGACGGTAGTTTCGAAATCCGCATTCAGCACAGCAGGACGTTTGATTGATGACCACTGGACATTGTTAGATCCGTATACTGTACAGACGATGATGTGCTTACAAGATTGATGGAGGTACGAGAAAAGAACGCAAATCATCGATCGGCTGGCTGGAATTGAAGATAAATTTGAAGAATTGGGATAAATTTAAAGAAATGGGACTATCAAATAGATATAAAGATTAAATAATATTCATCAAATTATAATTTTTATTTCTTAGTTAAATTTTATAATGAATTATTTTGAAAACAGTTACAAATGATAGTGATATAGGTGAGTAGGTGTTAACCTAGTTGGGATGTACTCATCTATTGTGATGCGACAAATTCTGAAATAAATTTATACTTGTAAAGTATTTACTGATTATTAATAAAGAAGTTATTTTTATTATCTGACTTTTTTATAATTTTTTGTATTTGTAATTTATGTAATTTCAAGTGATTAATAATATTATTGTTTTTAATTAAAATTTTGTGTAATTTTTTATGTAAAATTAGAGTTTTAAAGAGATTTTTAAAAAAATTGGGCCGGTTCGGAGCCCGGCCCACTCAGGCCCAGACCCGGGTCCAGGTACGGGCTCCAGTTTTGCCCGGCCCGGATGGACACCCCTACCAAACAGTACAGCTTAAATACAAGCTGATTCAAGCCTAGTTATCTGGAAACTTGTTGGATAATTTTATGAGCTTAAATTTTTGTTCAAATTCATTCGTTTTAAATTATGAAACGGTCTGAACGAACCTTTACCTAGTCATTTCAATCTTTCTAAGCCCATTATACAGGACCGTGAAAGTCATGTTGGAATCTCACAACCGATTGAGTCATCTATGGTGCTACCGATATTTAGATTATAAATGATCTTTTGATTGCTCTATCAACAAAGTCTGGGTGGTGTAGTAGGCCATCACGCTAGTCTTCACACACTAGAGGTGCCGAGTTCGAACCTGTGGCTTAGACAATTTTAATGCTTTTTATAAAATTTCCAACCATTATTTGTTTTTTAATAATCTGACCATTTTTGTTAGTATTCACTTGTATCCATTCCAGTTTAGTATTGATCTCAATTTCTGCATTTCTCCATTCCTGTTCAGCATTAATCTCACTTTCTGCCTTTTGTTGATACGGATCAGTGTTGGCTTAAGCATATGAAGCATTTTGAAGGATAACCATCATACTGCATATGTAGATTTTGTTGCCTTCAAAAGATTTATTAGATACTTGATAAGATATCATGATGCATAATAGAGCTTTATATGTTTTTGCTTAGTCTTCTTACCTCTGGGATCTAATTCAGTTTGGTAACTGCAGACTGATTCATCTGAAATTTCCACTGGCCATGATTATTGTCCCTTAACTATGTTAGCATTTACAGAGTTCACCATTATTGACATGATTCCCAATTGTAATAATATTAAGGACAAATTTTGAAAACCATCCGCTTTCAAAATTTATTTAGCAAAATCAACCGTATTAAGATAAAATTAGCAAAATCGACCATTTTCAGGTGAAAATGGTCGATTTTGCAGCTGGGGCGTTGTGGCGAAGTGTACGGGACTGCTAGTCCCGTACACTTCATTTTCTTTGTTTTGTCTTCCCTCTGGCTCTTCCATCTGGCTTGTGCTCCAAATCCCTCTGCCTGACGAAAAACCCCAGACCCCACTCAGGCAAATAGCTCACATAGTTGTAGGTTGTCTTCTCATTAGCATTTTTGCAAAGTTGTTATGTATTTCTTGAATGATTTTCGTGCTGCTTGTTGTATGGCTATTTAGCTCTAAGGTGTGGTCATAGTTGAGCACTTTGAGCAGGTAGAGGAGTCGGAGAAGGTGAGGGGGTAGGGGGTAGGGGAGGTGAGGTAGGTGGGGAAGGAGAGGAGGCGGAGGAGGTGAGGGGTCTGGGCTTTTTCGTCGGGCGGAGGAGGTGAGGGGTAGGGGGGTAGGGGAGGTGAGGTAGGTGGGGAAGGAGAGGAGGCAGAGGAGGTGAGGGGTCTGGGGTTTTTCGTCGGGCGGAGGAGGGCGGGATCTGGGGTTTTTCGTCAGGCAGAGGGATTTGGAGGTCACGAGCTAGAGGGAAGAGCCAGAGGGAAGAGAAAGAAAATGAAGTGTACGGGACTAGCAGTCCCGTACACTTCGCCACAACGCCCCACCTGCAAAATCGATCATTTTCACCTGAAAATGGTCGATTTTGCTAATTTTATCTTAACACGGTCGATTTTGCTAAATAAATTTTGAAAGCGGGTGGTTTTCAAAATTTGTCCTAATATTAATGTAGATACCATTCCCTTAAGTTCTTAACCATACGTTTTTGGACTAAAATTAACAAGCTTTGCATTTATTATATTTCTTTTTTCCCTAAATTTTTATTGTTGACCATTAATTTTTATTTTTCAAGGTAAAAGTTATCGTAGCCATTACTTAAGGAACCAGAACGTCTTTAAATAATAAGGAGTTTGCACCGATGTCTTCAGAATTTTATGTTACCTCTCACTGTTATAATCATTTTAGTGACGAAAGAAAATACCTAA